ATTAAATTTAAAAGATTTGTTAAATAAATTGACAAGATTAGTTAAAAATAAAACACTTGTACTTAAACAACAATTGCACTCCTGAAGCCTGGATGTAATGGAATTTATCATGGCCTTAAATACAGTCAGAGATACAAGACTTTGGAGTTTGAGCTCTGACCGCAAAAATGTTCCATGAACTTGGAGCAGAAAATCTGAAAGATAAAATAAGGTAAGATAAGAAGAAGTAAGCTAACTTACCTTCTTATCTTAAAATAGAATAACTTTTTCCCCATTTCTGTTCTTAACATAGGAATAGTAAAATATAAAAAGTCCTGAGAGCAGAGACTGTTGGCCCTATTATTCAGGATTAAAAGAGATGATATATAAGATAGAATCATCTCAAGAATAGCCTTGTATATCAAGACATACCAGTGGCTGAGCTGGTGCACATATAAAGATGGTCAGTTGACTAAGTTGATTAAATAAAACACTTAAAACACTGGGAAAACATAATGGCCACATAAATTATTTGGTTATATAATTAATTAAGGAGAAGTTGAGGAAAACATAAGCATTGTTTTAGTTTGAGGTTATTAGGATGTGGAACAAAGGCTGTTTCTTTAGCATACCTATTCTCTCACAGCAGTCAAATGTACAGTGCAAATTTCAATATAAAAAGAGTTAATCTGGTCAAAAATGGTTCCTTTTGCTTTCTTACATTACAGAGACACACATCACAGCTCATTTCAGCCTGTTTTGTCACCAATCAGAGCTTTAAAGAATACCACCCAATATTCACATTCATTAATGTGTAAATCAACCCTTCACTCAGTAGAAAAGACTCCAAAAAGTGATGTATTTCATTTTTGTTCTGCTTTTTCATATTTCACGTTACTGACACTGAGCCAGCAGGGGGCGCCATACGACCAAAATCAAGCCGTCTCCATGTCGAGATGAATTGAACAAACAATAAAACATTACCTGGTGGTTCACCTGCGAAGAATGTTGGTTTCTATCTACTGCTGTCTATTTATAGCAGTCAGACATTTCTGTAAACCTTGAATTTTACAACACAAGAATATAATTTCATACGCTGAACGAGACAGAACAACAGCAGGCGTATCTGAGTGTGTGCCTCTCAATTTATTTAGAGATTTGTGTCATTATACTGGCATTTCCTAAAGAAAGAAAATTAATGTTTTACTTTCATTTCTTCATTTTCAGCACAATTGTGTTGACTTAGTTGGTTATTCATTGTGTGTGTTGGAGTAATGTCATTATTTGTTTTTGTTCATAACCTCAGTTTTAGTGACTATTTTTGTTTTTTACCATTTATTAGGAGTATGTGAAATTTGCCTCTACATAAATAACTATTAATTAACTGAATGAAAGCACTAACAATGACAAAGTAATCCTGCACATCTAGGAGAGATTATGCAGATAATACAACTGCATGTTGAGGTAAATGGGAGAGACGAGGAGGAATGGTTGTTTCTAAAGATGAGTGGGGGGATATTCAAAGGAATGGTGTGTAAATGTTGATTTATAAATATGATGGTTTCCAAATGATCTAAACTCCAGATTTGATTGAAAATGTTGCAAAGATGACACATCAGAGCGAGCATTTTATAAAACAGATATCCTCATTTTTAATTTGATTCCAAACCAACAAAATTTGTTGATAACAACATTATACACAGCGTCCATCGCTTTGGGAGTTGAAGTCGTACGTATTCTCACAGTTCTGGGGAATTTAAATTCTCAGAAGCGGCTTCTCAGTGTTACAACAAACCGACATGAGGTTTGTACATTTTTAGATACTGTATTTTAAATCTGTGTTTCATTCAGTGTTCTGACGGTGTATTCTGGCACTATTGCACTGAATGTTAAATATAGAGGAGTAAATTACCCAAACTGTCCGCTGAGATTATTACGCATCACAGGGCCTGACCAAACCACTGTGGTTTCCCAGGTCTGACTCTGTGAAGACATTTGCAGTGATCTGGAGGCCGCCGCTTGCTCAGATGAAGCTGCTTTAGTATGAAAATGAACTTCTACTTTTCATAGACTTGATGCTTAGGATCCATGAGTTCTTGTTTATCTTTCTATTTATTTTAATTTCATTATTTTCTGGATTTAATCTTGATTTTTTTTCAATTGTTTGTATCTTTTTCCTGTTTTTTAAAAATTTCTTAACATGTATCTCCTTCTTTTGTTAAACTCTCCTGAGCTTTGTAAGACTTTAAAATGCAAAATAAATGGCATATTGAAACTGAATAGAGAAGAATGGTTAATGTTGCAAATGCTGTGTGAAAATAAAAACTACATTAAATCTCCACATCTTCACAGAGTAAGATGTTAAAAAAGAAACCTCATGACTGTCATGAACTGAATGAACATTACTTTATCATTCAGCATCTCTGAAGCATTAATGTTAAGATCTTTCCTCCAGAAGCAAAAATATAATTGGGGATTTCTGCAAAAATATGTTTATTACAGTTTAGAGGTCTGAAATCCTCCTCTGTGACTCCTGTGTGAAACAAAGAGAAGCATCAGTCTCATGTTTTGAAGATCTCCGTCCTGCTGAGGGGGGTCCTGATGAGCAGCTCCGAGCTCTCCTGCTGGTTTAGAATAAGAGCATCACCTCCTACACACACACACACACACACACACACACACACACATAGATGTGGCTCCTGCTGCAGGTAGTGTGTGCAGCTGTCGTACGTGCACGTGTCCGCTCCGTCATTGACTCCTATATAAAACAGAGGAATGTTTGTGTAGGAGTGGGCCTTTTCTGCACACCAGGACGATCCCACCGACACACACTCAGTGCTGCTGTCCACCTCACACTCTCTTCCTTTCTTCACACTTTCTCTCTCTTGGCCTTTGTCCTCCTTGCTGCTCTTGTTGTCTTCTTCTTCTATGGTTTCTGCCTGGCTGGCTGTTTTGCTGACAGACTCCAGCTGGATGTCAGGCTCGGAGGGGGGCGGGTCCTGAGTGTGTAGGCTGGTCTTTAGAGCCCCTCTGTATGAGCAGGGCCCACACAACACTCCCACACACCTTCCACACACACCCAGGAGGAATTCCACGCCGCACAAAAGCCACTTCCTCCTTTAGGATGGAGGCATCATTCAAACGTAGCAGATTCAGGATTTCATTTTAGGCCAGGGGGGTTAAAAAAAAGCTTGAATCAGCTGACACATGTCCCACATCAGGCCCATGATGGTCTGTTAGTTTAACTGTCAAAACAAAGTCCAAGGAAATCCCAAAACTAAACTGTACATCTAAACTGTACAAAGGTGTGTTCAAGCTACAGGCAGCACACTCTTCAGATCTAAAATAGGATCATGGGACATTTTTCTTCATTTCACAGTGAAGTCACAGTCAAAGAACATCTTTGCCAAGACAGGCTGCACAAATATTTCTAACAATGAAGTCATTTACACAAACAAAATACAAGATGCATGTCTGCAATACTTTAAAAAAAAAGACACAATATGTGAAATCAACAAAAATTTGTTGTAAAGCATCAAATAAGTCCAGTTCATCAAGTTTTAGGGGTTTGCTTTGGGAGTTATAAACTCAAGGACTGTACCACCAACTATAGCAAAGTGAAAATAAAAAAGTAAACAAAGACTATCTTCAGTTTTTATCAAAGCAAGAGGAGGAATTACTATATCAGTGGCAGATCGATCCACATTTGGTGGTCTTGAATATAAAGGTCATATTAGTCTCCTTTGGGATTGAATGCATTTTTAGTTTTAGTTAGTTTTATTTTTCAATCGATAATTCAAATGGTATATAAAAAATGTGGGGCAAATATAGTGATGTTTAAACCGACAAGAATATGCATTGTTTCATTATGTGATTTCAGTTTGCAGGCCAGGCTCCAAACTCTTAGTTTTTACTTTTTTACAAACAGTTCTATTAATATGGCAAGTATCTGGTCGCCAGGCATGGAGCCCCAACCCATGACATGGATCTTCTTTTGGGCCCACCTGTGTTGGGGTAGCTACTTATAAAAAGTTTTTTTTTTTTTTTTCACTTTCACTTCACTAGTTACTGGATTTGAAGTGACTTCACTACTTATTACTTTACTTTCCCGTTTCTTAATTTACCATGTAGAAGTACATGGACAAACATCACGGCCCAATCATCACTGTGCATAGTCCGCATCCTTTTGTTTATTATATAAATGCATAATCTCCATTTCGATCTCTCTCTCGCATCAGTAGCTATGTCACTCAAACCGATCTCTCCATAGGTTTTGCTTGCTTCTCTAGTTATACCAACTTTAGTAACAACCGCACGATAGCAATACACAGTGGTCTCAGATGCCATTAACAAACCTCAACCAAAAAGCCACTCTATAGCCACAAATAATGTTAAGAACAGAACCTAACTTCATCAACAGTACAAATAGGGTCCTAGCCACAATACTAGCCACCAAACATTTTTTTAACTTTGCCTAATTTCTTTAGCAAAGAGACTAAACACAACTCACCTACTCTCTTCCAGCAGCCAATTGATTGTAGCCAGACCTCAGGCCAGTCCATTGCGGGGTACTGCAGGGGGGCGCAGTTCTAGGAAGAACATTTATGATCATTACTTTATCATTTCCTTGAAGTCATAATCACCATATTAATCATTTTGCACTGCAGACGTGGTAGTTCTTCTGCCTTGGCATCTCGGTCTGATTGCATTTCCATGAAGAAATGAACATAAATGTTCTTCCTTGAGCTGCGTCACCCCACTGCAGTCCATCGGCTACAGTCAGCTTGTGCAGGACAGGGCCTTGTTGATCTGATTTCCACCAAAATACATGTTTTTTTAAATGTTTTTTTTTTTAAATAAGGACAACATTTCTTTAAACTGCTGCTTAATTTTGACATAGCAGAGACTTTGAGACTCAGAGACTCAATCTTTGGCAGAATTCAACACTATATGTGTGTGTGTTTGTCAATTTCACAGGCTTTTGAATGCCTCTCTTTTATAACATCGTCACAGACCTACAGATGAGCTGGTATTTGACCCGTCAGCTCTACATGTATTTTCCCAGGACACCTCTCTGTTTGGATCCACAGTCTGACTTCCTGCAGAAACCTCCGTACATGAACGTTACTGCTGCTGTGTCGACGTTCCTGTCTCGTCCTGAGAGACGGAGACAAAGACAGACAGAGATGGATGAGATGATGCTGTCTCTGTCTGACGACACTGACAGCTCCCCTCTGATGGAGAGAGAGGAAGAGGAGCTGCTGCAGGAAAGATCCGACTGAATCACTTTGAGTTTAGTCACAACACAGACAGTAACAGGCATGAAATGCGGATTTAGTGGAACCATGCTGACTATATAAAAACCTCACATTCTGTGTTTCTGCATGGCTTTGAGCGGAAACGTTTAAGATAGTTCACTATCCAGGGACTTTTCACAAAGAGGTAACAAACATATCACCTTGTTTCCTCTGATCAGGTTGCTGAGTAAGAGTCCTGGGGTAGAAGTGAACAGGAACAGCAGGGGGTCTTACACTATACTATGTGACTGTTAGGACCCATGCAAAGGCTATGTTTTTTTATTGCCCTTAAGTTTCACATGCATCCCCCTTAAACATGAGTCTAATCCCAACAAGGAAATTAAGAGAGAAGAGAGTGATCAAGGAAATTTCCTTTCAGAAGCGTGACGTGAAGTGATCAGCTGTTAGTCAGCTTTCACAGCTGTTTCTGTCTGCACACGTCTCCTGTACCTACTCCAACAACTTCACAGTGTTTTGTGTCTGTGTGTTCAAACTTTTGAAAAAAAAAAACACCTATCAAACTAAAAACTCTCTGCACTTTGTTTATTCTGCTCAGAGTGGGATGGATGGAGGAGAGCTGCAGGGGGGAGGAGGACCTGCTGGGAAGAGGCCTGGTGGAGGAGTCCCCACTGTCAGCTGAGTGATGAACGACCCTCTCCCAGTCCTTCCAGTCCTCCCACTGATCCCGTACACCTGAACTGTAAGGTCAGTCTGCTGCTGAAATCAAACATTATATTAATTTAGTGTGTGATTAAAACTGCCATATCAGAATGGTGCGCTCCTCTACTCTCATTCATTGACCCATTAATTTATGTAAAAACTGATAACAGTTGGGATTGGGATGGGGGTGTGTGGGGTGTGTGTGCCTTCCTGCAGAAGCTCTGCATCGTTTCCTGTGTGTGGTTGATCATTAACAGTCTCAGTCTCAGTGAATGGGAGTGAATGGGGCTCCTGCTCTCCGCTCATCCTGAGGCCTGCTGAGGAGGACAGCGGCCCGTCAGCGTGTCTTCATCACCGAGCCGTTCAACAGGATCCTCTGTCTTTGTCTGCATGACGGGACATGACAGGAATGACGATACGTCGGCCATAACGGCCTCGTCTGGAGTTTTCTCCTCCTGTAGAAGGAACTCAGTCAGCTTCCAGGCACAGAAGAGAGGAGGAGGAGGAGGAGGAGAAGGAGATGCTTACGGCGTTTTCCATGGTGGTGTTTGATGTGGTTTATGCGGTTTGCATGTTTGAAAGCACTGTTACATGTTTGAGTAACTTTAGTTCTATTCTATGATTATAATAATAATAAGTGATTACACTCTAGTACTAATATGATTTTAAAAAGTGAATTGAATTTGCACTAAAACATAATTTTAGACTTTATCATCAAGACGAGGAGACAATTTTGTTTACAAGCCAAATGATTTGTAAAGTTGGATCAAAAATCAGACAGTCTTTTGCTCAAAGCTCCTATGAGGAGTTTTTACATGTTTGCGATATGGACTGAAATTCACATTGATAAGTTTTATAATGTTCAAAGCAAACAAGAGATAAGACTGGCCATTATTTTAATGCCTGGAACCGGTGTGAGGGTGTAGATGCCAGTCAAGCAGCTGAAGAAACAGTCTTATATATAAACATGAACTCAAAAGTCAGCTGACTTTTTGACTCAAGATACTATTCAATCATACCGAGGACAAGACAAGCAAAGAATGATTCATCCATGATGGGCGCAAAAAATTTATCAGAACCAAAAGTTTCTTATAGGAGCTTAAATGAATGAAAAATGAAGCTGAACAGCATTTAGGATACTTATTCTGACTGATTAATAATGTCATACACAATAAAATCCAACATCATCCTGTCCTTAGAGCTGAATATTTTCTTAACAGTTTATTCTGTTTTAATTGAGGGGCAGCTTTCTTCAAAGTAAGTTTCTAATCGTATCGAACACTATCAGTCTGGTTCACCATATATTTAAAGGGAAAGTTATGTGTTTTTATTCGGAGTGTGGTTATACAAGGTACTTGTCCGTGGTGAGTGTATTACTCACGGGGGATTTCGGTCTGCTCAGCCTCCTTGATCTGAAACCCACCAGATATACAGAACTGATGCGAGGCTTTCGGAGGACAAACTAAACTAAACAGACCAACGGACCATCAGGACCTTTCTGAATCAGAGGATATATGTGGCTCACATGCAGCTGCAGTCTGCATCACCCATCATCTAGAGGGTCCTCAGCTGTTTACCCACTTCCTTCAATTTTCAGTAGCCAAAGCAAACACCAGAAAAGCCGAGTGGAAGAGCATCTCCAAAGAAAGTGTTCGGACACAACCCATGATCCACGGGGTGTGTTTGACTTCTTAAAATGCACTGTTAGCAGCTAAAGGAGGTGACTGAGCTGAAATAACAAACTCTGCAGACATTCCTCCTCATGGCATCTCCAGAGTATGAAATTTGGATATTTATGCTTTTTGAGGACTCTCTTCATGTGTCTGACTCATCTCTATCTAACACACACACACACACACACACACACACACACACACACACACACACACACACACACACACACACACACACACACACACACACACACACACACACACAGAGCTCATCCATCTCCCTCTGTCTTTGTTCAGTAGACGAGTCATGACAGGAGCAACGAGTCGTCGGCCTTAATGGCCATGTCTGTAGTTTTTACTCCTCTGAAGGAGGAAGCAGCAGAGAGGAGAGGAAGTACAGAGGAGGAGGAGGAGGGAAAAGATGAAGATTCAGACACAAACAGGTGACAATGAGTTTGCTGAGTCTGCAGAGGAACTAACATGGAGCGGGGACGCTCTGGCAATTTGGAAATAAGGCCTGGGAGTACAGAGGAGAAAACAGTCTTACTGAAGTGATAACTGTGAGAGTGTAAGTCTACAAACCACTTCAGGAACAAAAATGACCAATTTAGAAATCTATTTAAAAAAAGGATAATTATAATAAATTGGAATTAGTTGTAAAAATAAACTCTCTCTTTTACTCATGTATCTGTAATTGATCAGCTTTTGAGCGTACTCGTCCTTTTTGAGTATAGTTTAAAAATCAGAACCTTTTTTATGAAATGTTGTATTTCACTGAAATTTAAACCCCAAAAATAACTGAATTTTAACAAAATGTCAAAAATACACAAACTTCCTTTTAGCTGCATGACAACGAGCTGATTGGGTGATGTCTATAATCTCAAATCTTACTGAGTGAATTTGTCTCAATTCCAGTCAAATATCTCATTAAACTCAGTGAAAGCATTATCGACCTTAAAGGTTAAAATGTAAAACTCATTTGGACAGATTTCAAGCCAATAATGTATTGATAGTTTTCCTAAATAACACAGGTATTAGATCTTTTTGAAGAAATGCATCATCACTCAGGTGAATGTTACAATTAACTCACTAGCAGTCTTTATCTTTGCCTTGTTTTCATTTAGGACCACGACTATAAACTCATTGTTTTAATGTAAGCTAAACTTAAGCCTGATATCAATATTTCATTTTTAAAAAGACCAATAACGCCAGTACCTATACATACCTGTACATCAACCCCAATTGTCATGGTCTTCTAATCTAACTGAGCTGATCTGTTTTTTTTAAAAGACTGAAGAAATATCAGAGCCTGTTTAAAAGAAACGTGGGCTGCAGATAAAATAAAGGTTAGCAGAAAGCCCAGAGGTATTGATTGCTGATAAGTTATGAGCAGAGTGTATTGATCCAGCAGGACAGATGTCTTCAGCAGAGAGACACAGAGACTCAGAGCAGCCCTGACTGTGAATATTTCAGTAGGGAACAAAGAGCATTTCAAACTGCTCCCTGCACCCATAAATCCCATCACTATTTTCTTATTATTACCCTTTTTATCTATTTATGCACAAAATTGAATTAGCTCAAGAAAACATGCACCGCTTAGTTGGAAAAATCTATGTAAAGATTGACCTCAGATAGGACTGTTGCAGCAAGTATTGGCAGATACTGTCTTGTTCAAATGACATACTCACACAGTGCAAAAAAAAAAAAGCATTCAGTTATACTGTGAGTTACACTGTTTGAAACATATCATAAAACAGAGGAGATTGATGTTAGCCCATGTGTCTCCGCGGATTAATTATCAGGTAAAGATCTACACTTATCCTTCTTTTAAAGACCCACTCCAAACGAAAACCTTCTTTTTTTTGTTGTCTACATGTTCATATGGCATTTTTCTGACGCTACAGGACGTATCATGAGTAAACGAGGAGCAAAATTGCATTTCTGAGAATTTCTGAATTCAAATCGCTGTGAATCTCTGACAGACCCTAACGGCAGGTTCAGACACAGTGAGATTTCTGACGTCACAAATCCAAGCTCCACCCTGGAGCCCCGCTATGCAGGCCACACTCAGAAAAAAGAGAGGACGATCGCAAAACAAGCGTGTGCGTTAGCGGACTGCAAGGCTTGTAAGAATCCTAATTATGATATTAACTTTCATCGTGTCCCTGAAGACATTGATGTCTGAGAGCTGAATAGCTCCTTTGTTACCTGCTTCTTATACTACACTGGCAATGTTAGGCTACAAGCTAACGTGACGAGGAGAAGAAAAGTCCAGGTGTCGGAAACATAGACAAACTCTTCTGTTTCACATGAGTATTCTGGGATGTTTGACTCCAGAGCAGTCAGGACTTGGGGGGTCTGCCCACAGGCTCACAAACAAGAAAAACTACAGTCTCTAATTGACATCAGGTCAGGTGTCATTTCAGTAAAATCTCTGACAGTCACTCAACAAAAGAAAATCTATCCACTGTGTATCCAACCACAAATGTGGAGTAAAAGTGTGTGAAGGGGTCAGTGAATATTAATCTCACATTAGCTCAGCACACATGACTAAAGAGGTGACAGGCTGACTGTGAGATAAGAAAGAGTCAAAGACTCTGACAGACAGTCACAGATTAGATCTGTGTGTGATCACCGAGGTCATGTTGATTC